ACCAGGGGATCTGGCTGATGCTTAACACTTAGAGGAGTTACCAGGGGATCTGGCTGATGCTTAACACTTAGAGGAGTTACCAGGGGATCTGGCTGATGCTTAACACTTAGAGGAGTTACCAGGGGATCTGGCTGATGCTTAACACTTAGAGGAGTTACCAGGGGATCTGGCTGATGCTTAACACTTAGAGGAGTTACCAGGGGATCTGGCTGATGCTTAACACTTAGAGGAGTTACCAGGGGATCTGGCTGATGCTTAACACTTAGAGGAGTTACCAGGGGATCTGGCTGATGCTTAACACTTAGAGGAGTTACCAGGGGATCTGGCTGATGCTTAACACTTAGAGGAGTTACCAGGGGATCTGGCTGATGCTTAACACTTAGAGGAGTTACCAGGGGATCTGGCTGATGCTTAACACTTAGAGGAGTTACCAGGGGATCTGGCTGATGCTTAACACTTAGAGGAGTTACCAGGGGATCTGGCTGATGCTTAACACTCAGGGGAGTTACCAGGGGATCTGGCTGATGCTTAACACTCAGGGGAGTTACCAGGGGATCTGGCTGATGCTTAACACTTAGAGGAGTTACCAGGGGATCTGGCTGATGCTTAACACTCAGGGGAGTTACCAGGGGATCTGGCTGATGCTTAACACTCAGAGGAGTTACCAGGGGATCTGGCTGATGCTTAACACTTAGAGGAGTTACCAGGGGATCTGGCTGATGCTTAACACTTAGAGGAGTTACCAGGGGATCTGGCTGATGCTTAACACTTAGAGGAGTTACCAGGGGATCTGGCTGATGCTTAACACTTAGAGGAGTTACCAGGGGATCTGGCTGATGCTTAACACTTAGAGGAGTTACCAGGGGATCTGGCTGATGCTTAACACTTAGAGGAGTTACCAGGGGATCTGGCTGATGCTTAACACTTAGAGGAGTTACCAGGGGATCTGGCTGATGCTTAACACTTAGAGGAGTTACCAGGGGATCTGGCTGATGCTTAACACTTAGAGGAGTTACCAGGGGATCTGGCTGATGCTTAAACACTTAGAGGAGTTACCAGGGTATCTGGCTGATGCTTAACACTTAGAGGAGTTACCAGGGGATCTGGCTGATGCATTAACACTCAGAGGAGTTACCAGGGGATCTGGCTGATGCTTAACACTTAGAGGAGTTACCAGGGGATCTGGCTGATGCTTAACACTTAGAGGAGTTACCAGGGGATCTGGCTGATGCTTAACACTTAGAGGAGTTACCAGGGGATCTGGCTGATGCTTAACACTTAGAGGAGTTACCAGGGGATCTGGCTGATGCTTAACACTTAGAGGAGTTACCAGGGGATCTGGCTGATGCTTAACACTTAGAGGAGTTACCAGGGGATCTGGCTGATGCTTAACACTTAGAGGAGTTACCAGGGGATCTGGCTGATGCTTAACACTTAGAGGAGTTACCAGGGGATCTGGCTGATGCATTAACACTCAGAGGAGTTACCAGGGGATCTGGCTGATGCTTAACACTTAGAGGAGTTACCAGGGGATCTGGCTGATGCTTAACACTTAGAGGAGTTACCAGGGGATCTGGCTGATGCTTAACACTTAGAGGAGTTACCAGGGGATCTGGCTGATGCTTAACACTCAGGGGAGTTACCAGGGAATCTGGCTGATGCTTAACACTCAGAGGAGTTACAGGGGATCTGGCTGATGCTTAACACTCAGAGGAGTTACCAGGGGATCTGGCTGATGCTTAACACTCAGAGGAGTTACCAGGGGATCTGGCTGATGCTTAACACTCAGGGGAGTTACCAGGGGATCTGGCTGATGCTTAACACTCAGAGGAGTTACCAGGGGATCTGGCTGATGCTTAACACTCAGAGGAGTTACCAGGGGATCTGGCTGATGCTTAACACTCAGAGGAGTTACCAGGGGATCTGGCTGATGCTTAACACTTAGAGGAGTTACCAGGGGATCTGGCTGATGCTTAACACTTAGAGGAGTTACCAGGGGATCTGGCTGATGCTTAACACTTAGAGGAGTTACCAGGGGATCTGGCTGATGCTTAACACTTAGAGGAGTTACCAGGGGATCTGGCTGATGCTTAACACTTAGAGGAGTTACCAGGGGATCTGGCTGATGCTTAACACTTAGAGGAGTTACCAGGGGATCTGGCTGATGCTTAACACTTAGAGGAGTTACCAGGGGATCTGGCTGATGCTTAACACTTAGAGGAGTTACCAGGGGATCTGGCTGATGCTTAACACTTAGAGGAGTTACCAGGGGATCTGGCTGATGCTTAACACTTAGAGGAGTTACCAGGGGATCTGGCTGATGCTTAACACTTAGAGGAGTTACCAGGGGATCTGGCTGATGCTTAACACTTAGAGGAGTTACCAGGGGATCTGGCTGATGCTTAACACTTAGAGGAGTTACCAGGGGATCTGGCTGATGCTTAACACTTAGAGGAGTTACCAGGGGATCTGGCTGATGCTTAACACTTAGAGGAGTTACCAGGGGATCTGGCTGATGCTTAACACTCAGGGGAGTTACCAGGGGATCTGGCTGATGCTTAACACTCAGAGGAGTTACCAGGGGATCTGGCTGATGCTTAACACTCAGAGGAGTTACCAGGGGATCTGGCTGATGCTTAACACTCAGAGGAGTTACCAGGGGATCTGGCTGATGCTTAACACTCAGGGGAGTTACCAGGGGATCTGGCTGATGCTTAACACTCAGAGGAGTTACCAGGGGATCTGGCTGATGCTTAACACTCAGAGGAAGGATGAGACGGATGTGCAATCAGACAGTTACTGGTACCAACGGAATTGGAACTCTTCAATTGCTACTGAAGATGGGGACTAGGCACTTATGGGAGTGTCCTGAGTGCTGTGATGTTGATTCTTGATTCAACATTCAACATTTTGATCATCCCTCAGATACCCTGTTCAACCTTCGAGGAAGTTATATTAAGGCAGCCATGACAGATAGATCAAGAGGTGATCTCTACAGTTCTGTATGAGTAAAGAATCATCGTAATATTGAGTTTGAAACTAACAGTATGTCAATGCTATTTGAGCAGTGCGATGTGTTTGTATTTTCTATGCACTCATTTTGATAGTGTCTGCCATTGCACCAATGCACCTTTGTAGACATTTGTGTCTGCCTTGCTTTGTCGCATGCTGTTGTATTGTTTTCTGTTAATTCACTGATGACTGGGTAATAGATGCATACACTATATGTATCACTCCCCCCCCCCCCCCCCCCCCCATATTCTCAGCTTTCATGACAGGATGCTGTTTATGAGCCAGTTCTCCCTGTTGTTCAGGTCATGCAGGATGTCCACGTGTTTCTTCTTCCTGGCCTGGCCAGTGGTATTCTTTGAAAAAAAATATGGCGGCATTTCAGTTGGAAAGCTCCAATTTCTTGCACATTTGCACATTGATGACCTATTCCTGTCTTTAACTCTTTAAGTCCCAAGGAACGCATCATACGTTCATAGGTTCCTACGTAGAAGCCCAATCAACGCATGATGCACTGATTTTATGACTCTATTTACTACCCCCTGGGCCTCTGATGCTAAACCCCCTGGGACTCAAAGAGTTAATGCTCAGTGTAATATAACTCTTTCAAAACCAACTAGTAATAACTTTAACTCGATATATTCCTATACTTTTTTAGTTTATAGATAAAAATGTATTTTTAAGATGTTAAAGAAAAAACATTATTGGTTAGATAGAGTTAAACTATGAGTTTGAATAAAATAAGTTAATGTAACAACCAATTTTGGCTGAAGAGTGTCATTAGAGTATACTTTCTTCTGATTAACTAATGATTGAAATTAATCCAATGAAATGTGGCTAATAAGCTAAACAAAAGGGTAAAGGGGAACAATGGAGCTGGAGCTTTTCTTAACATGAACTGTATGAAATAACAGAGGGCAAAGTACTCTGACCACCACTGCCCACTGAGGAGGAGGAGGGGGAGGTGATATGAATAGCTAAAATAAAGGAAGAGAAGAAGATGATGTGGAATGGGTAAAATAAAATAGATGAAGGAGTGAAAGGGGTATTAAAAGTAATGAATCAGTGAATCAGCTTGTCTTTTGCTGAACTTTGCTCTCTTCACAGCACACCTACAAGTTGTTCTTTCTCTAGCTGATTCTCCATGTTTTCACATTTCACTGGAATTCCTTGACTGCAGTCACCCCCCATATTCTCAGCTTTCATGACAGGATGCTGTTTATGCGCCAGCTCCCCCTGTTGTTCAGGTCATGCAGGATGTCCACGTTTTTCTTCTTCCTGGCCTGGCCAGTGGTATTCTTTGGAAAAAAAAATGGCGGCATTTCAGTTGGAAAGCTCCAATTTCTTCTTCATAGACAGAGAGTCCATGACTCACATAATAAAAGTAAAGTGACAATGTATTATAGCAGTAGGGATAAAAATACTCGTGATGCATAAAATAAATAGAATAAAATGTCGAAGTAATAATAATAATAACAAATATGATATAATAAAATAAAATTAAGAATGGTTTAGATGAAGATATGCTGGACATTGATACCTGCTGGGATTAGAACAACAACAACAAAAACTCTGTGTTTGATCACCAGAGCAAGATTTTGTGGCAGGGACATATATCTTTTTCACCTCTGTGGTCAGAGCTGTTGAAATAAAGAGGGATAGTTTAATTGTCTTCTTTTCAGTATCTGAGAGATGTTGCCAGAAGCGATCAGCTAGATTCCTATCAGTTTTTACAGTATATGCCATGTTGCATCTTTTACGAATTATAGCGTATATTATGTTTTGGGGTGTTTGTATAGTGTGTTGCATGGTACAAAAAGAGATAACAATCGTAAATATGTCTGCAGGTTTACTAGTATTCATGAATTGATAGTCTTGTTAGTGAGTAGTTGTGTATTCATGTTGTCATACTGTTTTGCTGATGTCTGCTTTTGATGATCATATATATTATTCTATTGTGGAAGCATGTCAGTGTTTTCAATTTTTTTCAGTGTCATGCCATTCAGCTGTGCTGTCAACATCCTAGATTATTTTTTCTATGGCGGAGCCCGAGTGAGTTCATCTATTTAATTAAGCTATGGGAATTTATAACGAATTAAACATTTTATAGATGTAACTTGATAAACTGATCACAAGATATCGGAGATTTTTAAAAATACAGATGGCTAGCAAAATACTGACTTTGTCATTCTTCAGATGCGGTGCGCTCACCGAAAACAAGGTCCATACCCCCATAATATACAGTTGTAGCTTGTAGTTAGAATGCCAGGTTCTCATACTGGAGACCTTGAAGATGGAGGTTTTCTGTTGGGGGCAGAACTAAACATTCAAACCTGCACAGTTCATGGTGACTGCACTAGCCATGCTGCCTTCATTCCTCAGGGTTATTGACCCCCTGTTCTTCACCACCTTAAACATGTGGTACATACAGGCTGTAATGACAGAATGGCATGTAAACATAGTTACTTTTAAAAACCTATACAGTCCAACCAACTCAGTTAAGTTGAATGTTGGTTAAGTCGACATGACCAGCATAGTCCCAGCAATTTCCCTTCTTTATCTTCATATTTAAAACTCTGATAAGTCGAATTCTGTTAACTCAAATATTTGGATAAGTCAAATCTAAAAATAAGCACGTCCCTGTTTAAGTCGAACTGTTCATTATCACCATTAAAGAAAAATTCATTTTATCAGAAGAATTTCTTTAGTCAGCCCGGGAAATTATGTGAAATCTTGCAGCTTTGATATCTCACTACATACAGTATTAACAATGGCAGCTGGTGGCAGAAAGCTGACTAACTTTCAAAAGAAAGATTGAACTGTTGGAAGAGACTGAACATAGTGGGAAGAAGAAAGATGATATAACTAGGGAATATGGTATTCCAAGTTCGATGCTTTCTGGCATTTTAAAGCATAAGGAACGCTACAGAACATTGTTTTCTGAGTGTAAACACATAAGCAGGTTAAAGCATATCTCTTCAACGGTGACAGACAGCGAGCTAGAACAGCGACATGAGATTTTGTTGATACTGCCCTTTTAAAATTGTTCACTGAGCTTAGGTCGGCAAATGTTCCCATGAATGGGCCATTAATTGTGGCAAAAGCAAATGAATTTGCACGTATTGGAGGTCAGACAGACTGGAAATCTAGTGTTAGCTGGTTTGATCGTTTCAAAAAAACACCATTGCATAATATACAAGAGTGTGTGAAGAAAGAAATAATCTGTTGATGAAGCAACGACTAATTCATGGACAGAAGATGTGCTTAAACCTGCTTGTATTTTAATTACAGAGCCAGTTCCAAGGCATGGATGACATCAAAATTGTTCGCTGAGTGGCTACAAGTATTTTATTCTTAAGTTATGCATAAAAAAAAAAAATTTATTTTAATCAGTGACAGATGTTCGGCTCACAGAAGAATTGACAATTTGAAAGCAACAGAACTTCTGTTTCTGCCGCCTAATGCCACATCAACACTTCAGCCTTGTGATCAAGGCATCATTCAAAACCCTACAATGTTCTCAAAATGTATAGGTCATATGGATGCTGACTTCCGTTCTTATGATATCAAAATAACCCTTCTTGATTCTATTTTAATCTTAAAATCTTCGTCGGAAAGAGTTTTGCCTGCAACAATTGCAAACTGTTTTAGACAAGCTGGCTTCTTACCTGCATTAGATGTACCAGTCAATGAGAATTCCACACCATCAACCAGCTTCTTCTTCTTCTTCTTCACTTCCTCTTTTACCGCTGTGGGTGTCGAGGGAGATATAAGGTTCTGTTTCTAGCTCTTCTGGCTGCCTCGACCATAGGCACATCATGCTGTTGTAGAGTTTCTCTGATGTTATCCTTCCATCTTGTTATTGGTCTACCCCGTGCTCTACGTCTTTTTTCTCTTTCCATGTATACTTTGTATGGTATGGTGTCACAAGGCAACCAGCAATGAGAGAAATGTTACTGATGTTACTAGTGCAGCCATTACTTGCTAGGTTGTATTAAGAGCAGAACACTGACCCAGAGGAGTGTGGAGCCATTACTTGCTAGGTTGTATCAGGAGCTGAACACTGAACCAGAGAAGTGTGGAGCCATTACTTGCTAGGTTGTATTAAGAGCAGAACACTGACCCAGAGGAGTGTGGAGCCATTACTTGCTAGGTTGTATCAGGAGCTGAACACTGAACCAGAGAAGTGTGGAGCCATTACTTGCTAGGTTGTATTAAGAGCAGAACACTGACCCAGAGGAGTGTGGAGCCATTACTTGCTAGGTTGTATCAGGAGCTGAACACTGAACCAGAGAAGTGTGGAGCCATTACTTGCTAGGTTGTATCAGGAGCTGAACACTGAACCAGAGAAGTGTGGGGCCATTACTTGCTAGGTTGTATTAAGAGCAGAACACTGACCCAGAGAAGTGTGCAGCCATTACTTGCTAGGTTGTATTAAGAGCAGAACACTGACCCAGAGGAGTGTGGAGCCATTACTTGCTAGGTTGTATCAGGAGCTGAACACTGAACCAGAGAAGTGTGGAGCCATTACTTGCTAGGTTGTATTAAGAGCAGAACACTGACCCAGAGGAGTGTGGAGCCATTACTTGCTAGGTTGTATCAGGAGCTGAACACTGAACCAGAGAAGTGTGGAGCCATTACTTGCTAGGTTGTATCAGGAGCTGAACACTGAACCAGAGAAGTGTGGAGCCATTACTTGCTAGGTTGTATCAGGAGCTGAACACTGAACCAGAGAAGTGTGGGGCCATTACTTGCTAGGTTGTATTAAGAGCAGAACACTGACCCAGAGAAGTGTGGAGCCATTACTTGCTAGGTTGTATCAGGAGCTGAACACTGAACCAGAGAAGTGTGGAGCCATTACTTGCTAGGTTGTATCAGGAGCTGAACACTGAACCAGAGAAGTGTGGAGCCATTACTTGCTAGGTTGTATTAGGAGCTGAACACTAAACCAGAGAAGTGTGGGGCCATTACTTGCTAGGTTGTATTAGGAGCTGAACACTGAACCAGAGAAGTGTGGGGCCATTACTTGCTAGGTTGTAACAGGAGCTGAACACTGAACCAGAGAAGTGTGGGGCAATTACTTGCTAGGTTGTAACAGGAGCTGAACACTGAACCAGAGAAATATGTGAACATTGATAATGATGTTTTTACCAGTGCCACTCTTTTAAGCAGTGATATTCTAGGGCTATGTATGCCAACCACTCAACCAACAGACCATTTGAGCCCTGACTCTGATGGTGAGGATGACTGTGGGCTGCAAGCACAACCTGTATCACAGTCAGATGTTTTGGCACACATGGACACAATTAACATTGACATGATGCAGACTGGGTGTTCAGATGATGTGATCTCACAATTTGCTGCATTTGCACATGCCATGAAAAGACATTTTTCACAGTCCAAATAAGCAGAGCAATATCACATACTTTTTCTTTAATTAATGTCTGAATTTTCATATGGTTTTGATGTTTTACCTTCTAAAATAATGAAATATTTCAACATTTCTGATATTGTATCACTATTTTTTTTGGTTAAATTATGGTGTTTCCTAACGGGTATAATTGTTTTACTCAAAGCTACTGCTTGGTTTTAGTGTATATTCTCTATTGTGTGTGCTGTCTGGATAAGTAGAAGTCCTGATAAGTGGAAGCATATTCTGAGGTCCCTGCGACTTCTAATTATCCAGACTCAACTGTATTAGCATGATTGCCGGAATTTTTATCAGTGATACACAGAAGTGCAGTCGGAAGATATTACTGTGTGACCTTGAACCTATGAAACCCCAAACCATTGACCTAAATGTGGGGGCATCTGCTATATCCTTTACATTTAAATGTCATACTGGCACATATTATCCTTATTTACAAATAGTTTTGGTAAAACAAATTTTAATTACTTGTTGATTAAAAAATAGTATTCTGTAAGATGAGGTTTGACTACCCAAAATACATATAAACATTCACAATTCTGAGAGTGTGTATTGTTGTAGGAAAAAAGATACTGGACAGAAAGTAGTCGAGAGGGGTGGGAATTGTGGGCCCTGATTTGTTGTTAAGAGTAGTTTGTTGACAGTTGTTCATGTTTGCTCTTATGATGAAGATTTGCATGTTTGTTGTGCTTTACAGATAGGCTACAATATCTTTGCTTTTTTGCCAAATGCACAGTTTTAGCAAACCCTTAATTAGTCATTTTTCATGGCATGCTTGTTAGGGTGCAGTGGGTCTGCCCCCCCCCCCCCTCCCCCTCAATCTCCTCTGCTCCCTCGGTTGGGGCCTCTGAACTCATGCAGGATGTGTTGCCATATGAGAATACTTATGATGTTGTTAGCATGTAATAATAACACTTTTTTTTTTTGGACTTATGAGAACTCTTGGGCTGACATATGACAATGAAACATGTGGGGCTGATGGTGTGACATCTCTGATGATATTATTGACATATGACAATGAAACATGTGGGGCTGATGGTGTGATATCTCTGATGATATTATTGACATATGACAATGAAACATGTGGGGCTGATGGTGTGATATCTCTGATGATATTATTGACATATGACAATGAAACATGTGGGGCTGATGGTGTGATATCTCTGATGATATTATTGACATATGACAATGAAACATGTGGGGCTGATGGTGTGACATCTCTGATGATATTATTGACATATGACAATGAAACATGTGGGGCTGATGGTGTGATATCTCTGATGATATTATTGACATATGACAATAAAACATGTGGGGCTGATGGTGTGAGATCTCTGATGATATTATTGACATATGACAATAAAACATGTGGGGCTGATCGTGTGATATCTCTGATGATATTATTGACATATGACAGTAAAACATGTGGGGCTGATGGTGTGACATCTCTGATGATATTATTGACATATGACAATGAAACATGTGGGGCTGATGGTGTGACATCTATGATGATATTATTGACATATGACAATGAAACATGTGGGGCTGATGGTGTGACATCTATGATGATATTATTGACATATGACAATGAAACATGTGGGGCTGATGGTGTGATATCTCTGAT